CCGGAACCAGCACCCTCCGCAGCAGCAACGCTTCCGTCGCCATCACCACTGCCCATGCCAGGTGCAACCCCTGCTGTCTCCCACCCACTGCCGCTGCTGCTGTCGCTTGCGATATCACTTGCGCTGCCGCTGCTGCTGTCGACCATACCATCGCCACTGCCTTTGCCGCCGCCGTTGCCACTGACGTCCCGCGCCGGCCGCCAGTGGAGCGTGGCAGCGTGGTGCAGATGGGCGAGGAACGGTGACCTGCGGTAACCACCGCCAACGCCGCCGCCACCGCTGCTGCCGCTGCTGCTACCGCCGCTGCTGGTGAAAGCACTGCTGCTAGGGTTTAGGTCGCCGGTGATGGTGCTGTCACCATTGCCGGTGATGTAACTGCTTGTGCTGATTATTCTGGGGTCCGTGCTTTGGCTGTTGGGGCCGGTGGGAGGAAGACTGGTGGGATCTGTAAAGGTTTCCCAGCCGAAGGAGCCGGCTTGGTTGAGGGAGACAAGGAAGAGCGAGCAGAGGACGAGGAGGAGGAGGAGGAATGGCAGGGCGAGGAGCGCGAGAGGCGACGAGGAGTGCTTCTCAGCCGCCACGTGCCGCTGCCGGCGCTGGCGCCGCCGCTACTGTGAGGCGAGCCAATCCATGATTTGATGATGACGTGGCGCCGCGGAACCTCGAGATGCGCCGCTGGCGGTCTCGCTGCCGTCGCCAGCATGTGTCGCCACGCGCTGTGCGACGCGAGCATGGCGGCGGCGTCCCTGCGATCATGATCGTCGCCGTCGCCTGCGCTCATGACGGTTGAATGATGCGATTTTGGCAGCGCGAATGGTGGCGTGCGACAAAGTTACTAGCGAAGCTTCATCATGGCAACGAAGGATTTCCGAGTCGACGAAAACGACGCTCCATTCGTTTCGGACGGCTAGCAAATTCCGAGTCGACAAAACGAAGGAACGAATCCAACAAGCTCGGCTGGCGGATACGCGGCAGCGGGCGGAGATGCTGCGGAAGGCGGAGAGGCTGCGGAAGGCGGAGAGGCTGCGGAAGGCGGAGAGGCTGCGGTAAGGCGGAGAGGGTTGCGGAAGGCGGAGAGGCTGCGGTAAGGCGGAGAGGCTGCGGAACTTCTGAAGAAAGTCAACGCCGTGGAGAGCAGGCGCTATTACTCATACTAGCGACGCCGCGCCACGAACGTGGCGAAGACTCCGAGTCGCGTTTATTACTTCTAGAGCGAGGCGGATTGGAGACGCTGCGGCGGCTCGGGCATCAAGGAGTAGCCACGAGATTAAGGGGGAATTAGGAACTTCTGGTGGCTGCGACACCGAGGTCGCGACGCGGCATGCGACCTTGATGCAGGGACTGTCAGCCCACACGATATGGAACAGGGAGAATGCATAAACGTTCCCTCGGCGAAATCAGGCGCAACGGACGGACGGACCTGCTGTGCTGCTGCGCAACTGAATGGACAGACGGAACGGACGGACACTGTTCAGGAAGATGGGCGGAAGGTGGTGGTGGGTACAAGTACAAGGAATGCTCGAGCGGATGCTTCTAAGCCTGACACGTGTCAATGCACGGTACGATGATAAGTGGGGAAAATGATTCTTGGGGGCGATAAGCGCACGATCTTCACTATTGTGCTAAAAAGGTCTCCAGCCACAAGCCTACTACGTCATCTTTAGTTTTCTAGTAAGTAAATTCAGTTTATTTGAAAAAACGTGTTAAGACCCGAGTCTAGAATGGCAAGGGTTCAAGTTCAAGATTCTTGAACATGATTTCGCCAAAGAACATGGTAACCCGCCTTTCTGCGGTGTTCACTCGCGATCCACTACGAAGGGGTTTGAAGCGCATGAATGTGATTGGCCAAAAGCACCACAGCAAAACCACTGACGACCCTCGCCATAACAAACAAAAACCGTCACAACTGTTCATACTTCTGAAAACTTGAATCATGAAGCTATCGTTCTAGACTCGTATTATCTAGCTCCGAAGCCCACAATATCGTCAGCAGCCGATAACTAGTACCTGCCTTTCCCAGGACAAACCTACTAACTTCGGTCGGGTGCATGGTATAGATTACTCCCGTCCCTCTCGACACTCCCAATGCCTCCTCTCGCTTGCGGTATACGCAAATTTCTTGCGGAAACCATCTCTTCAGCAGGGTACCTCTCGTCGCGTCCATCGTTCTAGTCGCTCCTGCTCCTCTAGTCTCTCTCGTCCCTCTCGTCCATCTCAAAAATGTCAGGTCTATTTCCGGGCGTTAACATCCAAACTTAGGTTGTAAACAATGTATCTACGCCCAATAATTGCCCGGCTGTAAATAAGGCAGACTTTAGCCGTATTGGGGTCGATAATTGCCGGACCGTTAATTACCCGGAATGGCCCTTATTGGCCGTAAATCAGCATGGCGCCAGGGTCAGAGTTCTCCACTTACTGGGGTTGAAATGGCAGTGAACCAGAGTGCCATTCACAGTTGTTTCTAGTTCTGATAAAAATAGCCAAATTGTCCTTGTTTACATTCACTCAAATGCCAACATAACTAGGCCTGAACTTCCTGAAAACACCCAATCATTAGCTAATGGTAGCACCCTAATAATAGTAATAAAAATAATGTGATTATCAAATTATTGTAGAAAATGAGCATACATTAGAGCAGCAAAACTACAATTAGAAAACCAGGGTTTATGGCAGCAACCCAGCAAACTCGTCCTCAAACCCTGCGATCACAATACGCACTAACGGGTTTGCTCCCATCTGAAAGCCTGCAGGGGCAGTGTCGCGATAGATATTATCCCCCCGGGATAACCTATCCTTAATCCAATCAATGATCACCCCCACTTTCAGCTGCACTTCCCTCCTGTTGTTGGAGTCACTGCCATCTAGGGCAGGCGTGTCACGGCTCCCAGCATTTGCCATGGGCCATTCAACCTGCAGGGTATATTTGAAAATATATGGGAAAATGGGGAGCAAGGATAGGGGGGTGTGTTGGAAAAAATCAGGACAGTGAGGGAGAGGTGCATTGCAAAATAGGGAGCAGGGAGAGAGAGGGTGTGCTAGAGCAAGAACTGGATCATTGGCAAGGGAAACAAACAATGCATGGGAAACAAACTCACCACATGGCAAATCGTTGCCACCACTAGGATCTTGGCAAACATCGTCTTACACCTGCGACCGCCAAGTCCCTTGCAGAGCGCCATATCAAACGCCTTGTTGGCAAACGGGCGCCCCGTGTCAGGATCGCAGTGCCACTTGCTGCCATAAACGGCTGCAAGCACAGAAATCCGCTTGATGTAAGCACAATACATGTGGAACTCAGGAAACAAGGGCTGGAAGTGCTCGGGGCATGCAACGTTAAAAACGAGGCGCGTACTTACCATCAAAATAGAAAAGGTGCCACTGCTGGACGTTGCGGCGCTGCACCGGCGCCATGTTCTCAGCAGCCAACATGGGAATCTTCGATTCCCTGACGAACCCGCCTGGCCCATGTGCCCACGTCTTGACCTGCGTGAAGAGGTTGCCCCGACGCTCGCCGACCTTGTCTTTAAGAATCCTCTCCCGTTCCGGGTGAGAATTCATGACAAGGTTGAACGTTTCCTCGGAAACGTTCACCATCCGATACGTACGGATGAGTTGCTGCCTCAACTCCTGCGGCTCAGGCCAGAAGTTAATCTCCCTCGGGGGAGCTTCAGCAATGAAGTACAGAACCGCTTGGTTGCACTTTGCCTGCCATGCATTACAAGACGGATATGCAAAGTGCAAGGGAGCGCGGGTTGAAGCCAATGTAGAAAGCGCGGGTTGCATAGGATCAGAGTGGGAATGCAGGTTTGCGAAGTACAGGATCAAGGTACAGAAGGTTGCGAGGGTGGGTGGGTGGGAATACGAGGTTGCGAGCATAGGATCAAGGTACAGAAGGTACGAGGGTGGGTGGGGAGGTTGCGAGCGGAACATTGAAGGTATAAACGTAAGCTAGGTGGCGGGTATTCAGAATCAATGCGCACGGTTTACCGTGAAAAAGGTGAGCTCGGTAAGCGATTCCGGAAGCTTGGGCGAAGTTTCAAGAGCAGCCAGTCGAGGTGCTGGGGGTCCCGGATGAGCGAGGGGGGCGACAAGTGAGCGAGAGGCGTTTGGCGCGAGCGGCGCAGGAATCGTGGATGTTGCCAGCGATCGTCCGACCGCCACATGTGCGACCGCAGGCGCCATAGTTGAACGGGCCACGTTGTGGCCCCGTGAAGTACTTGCAACGTTGACCTCAGCGTTGGGGCTACGGCTCGCTGGGGGCAGCGCGGAAGTTGGGGCAGAGCTGCTCGCCCGGAGCAGTTGATTCGCCCGCTGGCTCTCCTCCAGTTGCCACCGAACGTCCGCCAGTGTCTCCTGCTGCAACTCGACCGTGCGCTGGTGATCAGAAGCTGCAGCCTGCGCTCTGTCAACTTCCTGAACAACTTCTGCAAAACACCATCCATTTCACATCCAGGATCACATCATGATCACACGGGGAACATCCACCACGAACACAGCAATGGGTAAGGATTAGTCACACGCTTAAATAAAACTGCAACAACACAGAGTCAGCAAGGAATCGATACCTTAGCAAGTAATCAGCAACGGGTACACGTATCCTCACCTTCCGCTTTTTTCTGGCGTTTACCCTTCCGCTTCGAGGTGGGGTTAGAAGCACCGGCATGCATAGCGGCAACAGAACCTTTCCTGCACCGAGGAGAGGGGCGGTCGTCGTTACCGCTGTCGTCGTCGTCTTCGCTAGCGCCAGGTTCATTTTCGTCCACATCGTTCGCTGCTTCTAACGCTGGCGCGAGTGTGACCGGCAGCTGACCATCGGCAGATCCAATGTCTGTCTGTGGACCTGCCTCAGGCGCTAATGGAAGGTTGCGAACTGCGCCAGGCTCGTCCGCATCGGCCTCGTCAGACGAGAGCTGCTGATCGACGAGATCTGGCGTGAGCAGGTTGCCAGACTCAGAACTGGAGGAGCTCTTGTGGGTGAACTCCGCACTGACTTGAGACATAAAAAACTGAAGCTGCTCATGCGACATTCCATGTAGGTTTAGTGTCAAGTTGTCAGGTTGGTTACCGACTGAAACCTCATTCGCAGCTGTAACACTAGCCTTTCGCCCGGGTAATGTAACACCAAGTGTACCAGTGTTGTACCTAGCAGGCACCACAACTGGTCTCTGAGGGCGGCCCGTAGGAGGCTCACTTCCAGGAAGGGGATGAGGGCGTGGGGTCACCATACTCGGCAGAAACAAGGACAAGGCTGTGAGTTGAAGTGTCGCACAACCCATTTCTATAGTCGTTAACATCTGGAAAATGTTGACGGGGAGCTCCTGATTGGCGTACGAAAGTGGTTGAGAGTCGCGACTCATCTGGTCGAGCTCTGTACCTGGCGACACCTTTGCTGTTGCCAGGCGACGCCGTGGGCTCGCGACGAATCGCACAACCGCACTGCGGTCATTTTACAAGGAGATGACCACGGTATAGCTGCCACGTGGTCTGGGACGATGAAATCCAACAAACGTGGCGACATCCACACTATTATAAGAACACAATATCATGCGCACGACTCTCCCTTCTCCCACCAAGTAGATACACTAATCAGGAGCCTAGAATTCAAATGCAACTGGAGACTAATCAGTGCTCAATATATACATGTTTGTACAACACTGCCATCAAAACAGAAAATGGTTAATGAACCACGTCTGCCCTGCCGAGTCATGCTGCACAAAATGTATAGCTCTAAGAATGGAATCTGTCTCTACTGCACTGTACCTTTGAGATACCCCCTCTAAACTGAATTGTTGACAACCCTTGAACTCATCTTACTCGTCATGGTCGATATAATACCTCACAAATGCGAATTCGCGGCGATTTGTACCATGGCCGACATGGAATTGTTGCAGAAATTTGCCGTACCACTCTGTTCCTGTACCTTGGAATGCAACCATCACCGAACCAACCCTTCTTACGGAATGACGGAACCGCTCGGATACGGTGTGGGGTGCTGTTAAATGCCTCGCCCGTCGCGGGTGGCATGGCCAAATCAACATGAATATGTACAGCAGTTACGTGCCACATATTGCATCATAAAGCTAGACAGTTTTCGCATGCATTTGTCAGCAAGGGTAGCCAGAAACTAGTGCGGAGTTTCAGGCGTTTGGTTTTTAGTGCACGCCACAGGCCAAACGCTGTCATAACGATCTGAAAATGGTAAGGGGGTCTCAAGACACCACGTCTAGACCCCCCTATCAGTTGTAGTTCAATCCAATAAGGCTAGATAGGCTTTGCATGCATTCGTTTGCAAGGGAAGCCAGAAGCTAGTGCGGAGTTTCCGGCGTTTGGATTGTAGTGTCCGCCACAGGCCAAACGTTGTTATGAAGCCCTGAAAATGATAGGGGAGTCTCAAGACGCTGTGAACCCTGGCTAGGGAATAGGATGTAGTAGGGAACTGTGTGAAGAAATAGTGGTAAAAAAGACATCCAGACGTTGGCGCAGTGACATGTTGCGCACAGGCCTATCCTTGCGCAGTTTCAGGCCAGCAAACGCACAAACATGCGTCACGTGCTGCGTAGTTGTGCTAACGAGGTCAAATAAGTTCCTATGGCTAGGGAATAGGATGTAGTAGGGAGCTGTGTGAATAAATAGTGGTAAAAAAGGCATCCAGACGTTGGCGCAGTGACATGTTGCGCACAGGCCTATCCTTGCGCAGTTTCAGGCCAGCAAACGCACAAACATGCGTCACGTGCTGCGTAGTTGTGCTAACGAGGTCAAATCAGTTCCTATGCGACACTCTTTTCTCTCGCTAAGCAGATACACGATTTTGGAGCCTGTTACTTCATGAAACAGTACTTATATCAGTGTACAATAGATACAAATATGCAACACACGGCAATCAAAACAGAAAATGGTTGAGGAACCATGTCTGGCCTGCCGACTCAAGCTGCACAAATTGGACAGCTCTAAGGATGGAAGCTGTCTCTACAACCATGTACCTTTGAGAAACCCCCTCTAAACTGATTTGTCTGCAGCCGGTCAATTCATCTAACGCGTCATGTTCGATATAATACCTCACGAATGCGAATTCGCGTCGATCTAGACCATGGCCGACATGGAATAGTAGCAGAACCTTGCCGTACCACTCTGATCCTGTACCTTGAATTGCAACATCACTGAACCAAACTTTATTGTGGAATAGCGGAACCGCTCGGATACGGTGCGGGGTGCTAGAGAAAGCCTCGTCCGTCGCGGGTGGCATGGCCAACTCAACATGAACCTGTACAGCAGTTGCGTGCCACATATTGTATCATTAGTAAAAGCATAACATAATTGTTGCAAGGCGTTAAACAAGCAAAAGCATGCTTAGGGTAACGTACGTAAATTGTGTCGATGTTCGAGCCGTTGGTTACGTCGCGATCGATGGAACGACGAAGATATGGGAGGTCGTGATGTAGACTGTCCAGATACAAACGGTCTCGCTTTGGGTCAGCCTTGGAGAATCCGACGTATGGGTGCTCACGACGTCTTGCGTGAACGATCAACCCCCATGAACTCTTAGAGAGTGTACGTGCTCCCGTCCTCAAAGCCTGTACACAGTTTATAAAAAAAATCAGGATGGTACCATCGTTCACGCAAAAAGTAAGGCTTGCTTGTCACTGTAATATATACGTACCTCACGCATTGCATTACTGTATTCGTGTGTAGTGTCCAAGTCGGCTTGAGGTAGCGAATCCAGTTGCAAGCGGACCATGAATGCCATGAATGCCTCCGGATCATCGGCGGCACGAGCGGCTGCCGCTTCCACGCCGTCCTCATCGGCTGGCTCATCAAACGTAGGTGGTACGAGTACGTTTTCACTGCTGGAAGGACTCCACACGCGCCGACGTTGAGCGGGGGGTTGGATTGGTGGGGAATCTGACGCCTCTGCGCCTCTGGATGCAGCAGCTATTCTGCAAGCCGCACTACCTCTATGCGATTCTAGAGCAGAATACACGTAGAAAGGCCCCGAACTACAGTCTGGGCATTCCATAGTGGCGGATGCAGGACTAATTTCTGTGTAGTAAAGGCAAAAAAAAAACAAAGCATTGGTGATTTGCATCAATATTATACCCCCCTGGTTGAGGTGATGTGAAGCGCGTGAACACATAGTTGTCGTGAGATGTGCTGAGATTCAGGTTCAATTCGAAGGGGTGTGCATTAGGGCGCGTCATTCTAGTATCATTCTCAATCTATACCCATCGTAACCGAATTAATTGTTTATTAAAGCGTTTAAAATCGTGCAGCGTCGTATTGCACCGTATTCCCCCCGAGGAAAAAAGGACGCGCACTAACGAGCCGCGCATTTCACTCACACATTTCAAATCGCATCGCGAATTTTACACTTCGCGAATTTTGAACTTCGAGTGACGTTGCGACATTCCTGTTAGCCAATACGGTCGTTGCGAAATATTGGCCAGCGAAAAAGTGCTGTTTGGAGAACCGGATTTGACGCGACCAATAGGAAGAAACCACGCACTTCCTTCAAATATTACAGTGCGTTTTGACTTCGTATGACCAAGGCGTCACGAGATTTCAAGAACCGTGACACACACCTGCTTGCTTACGTACTCTAGAAACGGCTGTTTATGACCACGTTCTTGCAAACACCAGACACGTGCGTCACAAAATCTTCCCTCACGAAAAAAATGCCACGTTTCCTGCTTGCAAACACTGGGGTTTCCCCCAAAAATTGTACAGTCATTGACTAGTTCCGATTACAACGACAACATTACGCCAAATCAAAATCGATCTCGACCGCACGAAAAAAAGTTGGAGTTTGGGCCGTTGATGTGAAATGTCAAGGAGCGCGACACGATATCCTACGCTGCCACGGCTGATTCCCTGCCAAACACAAGTGAAAAACAGGCAAAACACAACCAAAAACGAGCATTTGCCACATCAGCTTGTGGATAGAAGTTTACACCCCCTCCCCAAAGCCTGTGATATTCGAAATATTGCCACCACCGTTAAAGCCCGCAGCCCGAATTGCGGGCCGCGCGGGTCAAGCTTTTAAAACTTGACGAACTAGTGTTTGCAAGGTTTGAAAAAAAGCGCGCCTGCAATTTGGAAAACGTTCGCCCAACCCCAGACCAGAAAAACCCCCTCGCGTGAAGCTTTTAGAAGTTGTGCAATTTGGGCTGCCGGCTTTAACAGACGGTTCAGCATTTTTGAGATGTCGCTCCCCCTCCTCCCGTCGCCCTCGTCGCGTCTGTCCTGGGCGCCGCTCTCGTCACTCCCGTCCCAGTCGTGCCTTCTTTCCCTCCTCCAGTCTCTCCCAACACCTTCCGTCCCGCCCCTCGCTTCCGTCCCGCGTTCTCGCCTATCGTTCTCTTCCCTCCGTCCCTCACATCCCTCGCCGCCGATCGTCATCCGTCCCTTATTTGCATCGCTCACTTGATCCGTCGCGTACTCCCCCCGTCGCTCGAACGAACCCATCGCTCACACAGGGCAATCTCGTTGCATCGGTCCTGTCGCTCACATGCGACAATCAATCCGGTTCCGCATACTCACTCCCGTTTCTCACACTCCCGTCGCTCACACTCCTGTCACTCACATCAGAAAAATGTGTGCGAGAAATGCGGCAGTTTTCGGACGACAATAGTCATATTTTCGGGGTAAAACGATTGTTTCTGTTGTGCCCCGTAAATGGAGTGGCGTATTGACAAAACCGACCGATTCCGAGCGCCGTGTGAACGGCCGATTACGGCCCTTAATTTTGCTACAGCAGCCTTGGGTTTCGGGTGGTAATCTGGCAGAGTTGGCCAGTTACCGCGTACGCGCCACGTTTGAACATTGGCAGGTTACGGTCGTGGGAGTGTTTGGCAGGGCTGTCGCTAGGTCTGGGTCCAACCCGTACAAAGCTAAGCTGCCCCGAAATAAACCCTGAATGATCTGGAAAGCGGACTTAAATTCAGGGCATTTCTATTTCTGGCTCTGAGGATACTTGCGTAAAAAAGCTTAGATAATCGAGCTAGAC